CCCCCCATCTGTGCTATTCGAGACGTAATTCGTCCATCACTTGCACCTGGGTGACTAATTCGCCTTTGCCACATGGACCACGTCTCTTGTAAAACCTACTGTCAGCCAACTAGCTCTAATCGCCGCCTCGTATATCCTGTCTCTATTCCTAAAGAACCATTAAAATTTGTCCGGTTTGGCTTGGTTTTGCTGTGTCTTATAATCCCATAGCTAAGCAATTTCTTGTCATGCCTCTTATTTATCAGATCCCGAACCCTTTATGACTTCTGGTCTGTTATGCTCTAGAGTTTTTTTGAAAAATATCCAAAGTGAGAAACTCACCTAGATCCTTACTTAATCTAGAATTGAGACCTATGAACTTAAATAGCTTTCGCTTCTTGGTCTCGTAACTTTCCTCTAATTTCTGGATGAAGGCGTAATAAAGTATTTCATTAACTGTGTCCGAATGATACTTCTTCATTGCCTTAAGTTGTCACTAATAAGTTGCAACTCTGTGCTTACGATGACGCCTCTTATTTACGTTGCCGGCGAAACGTTTTCGAATGTGCTAAGCCAATGGCCCAATACTGGAAATCACAAATACTATAGCAGAGGACACCGAACTAAGTACGTTCTACGCGGTCTTCCTGAAGCTTCGACCAATTTGCGAAAACAAGATCGAACCAACAACGTCAATACATTTTCCCCTATAAAAATTATAAAAGTTTTCAAAAGAGCTTTATAAAAATATGATTTATCTAACATTGTAATTGAAACCAGCGTTTCTCGTTCTTGGATCAGGAACTACCGACTAAGTTATGAAATTTTTTGAAGTTCTTTATGGACCTTAAATAACCTTTTTTGCCCCTTCGTATTCTAATTTGTCTGAATGCAATTCGCAATGGCTATTATAATCAGGTGAAGTTTAGCAATGAATTTTTCTGTTATTTCACATATTGAGGGATATATCACCTTAATTTATTTCTATCCAAGCAAAGTACGAAATATTACGTATTTGATATGGGCTTAATCTTTCCAGGATGCCATTATGTCCCTTTAAAATGTAATTCCTATGCCTTTGATAGATTAACGGCATTTGACCTTTATTTTACCATTCAAACTGAATTGTTTGTGGACTCTATCGGCCTAGCCAAAATTTCATCAGTTGGTTGACAATGCGATTTCTTTTTTTGAATTTACCAGACAAGCTCCAAGCTTTCCACTATTCCTTTTTAATAAACATTACTTTATTTTCTTTAGATATTATAGGTTACATAATGCTATCGAAAAAGTATATTTCCATATATACATATATATATATATGAATTTTATGCCCCAAAACAAGCTATATTATTATCCAGTTCGTATTTCCCTGTCCTGATTTTCAGACTGTATCCGTAGTCAGTGGATTTTAAGTGACGACGTAATTCCTAGCCTGTTACAGACCATTTAAAAAGCGCGCATATCTCTACATATGACATAAAATGCTAATCTTCAACTTATTTTAGTGATCCTATGAAGCAGATGAATAGACTAATCAGACTGGCATAACTTTGCTTGATTAATATCAGTGCTTCTGGAATAAGAACTATTGCTTAAGATTACTTAGGAAGTGATAGTTGGGTTTTTACTTTAATGAAATGAGTAGGATGCACGATGGTATTTAATTTCACTTAGTATTGCCTCTCAAAAGCTTATACAATCCAGAAGGGGTAGCAGTTTTAATCTCACATAGCTCTCATCAAAGCCTCTGGCGGTTGCAGTCCATCCTGAATAGGACAAGCCTTTGGGAGGCTAGGCAAAGTTAACTTTGATGTCATCACGAGGCCTACTCATCTCAGTGCTAGAAAAACTCAATTGTCAGTGCTTATATAATATCAAGCGACTTGTGGGGTCTAATATTTGATTATTTACTTAGGTTCAACAGAATTTCTCTTAAGGAAATCAGTTAAATTGT